TCATTTCTCTTGGGTAGATTCCTAAGAGTTGAATTTTGTGGTGTTCTTATAAGTGCTCGTTTAATTTTTTTTAATTGCCTATATTCTGAAGTGGCCACATCATTTTACATTCTCACCAGCAATGAATGATGATTCTTGTTTCTCCACATTCTTGCCATAACTGTTTTTCTTTTTTTTTTTAATTATTGTCACTCCAGGGGGTATAGTATCTCATGTGGTTTTTACTGGCATCTTCCCAATGACTAGTGATGAGAATATTTTTAATAAATTAGTTACTCACTTAATCTTCTTTGGTGAAGTATCTGTTCAAATCTTTAGCCCACTTCTTAATAGTTTATCTTTCTTTTTCATTCAGTTGTAGCAGTACTTTCAATATTCCAGATACAAATCCTTTATCAGATATGAAATTTGCAAATATTTTCTTCCAATCTGTAGCCTGATTTTCATTTTATTAATGATGTCACTTAAATGGCAAAAATTTTTTATTTTGAGGAGGTCCAATTTATCAGTATTTTCTTTTGTGTATCATGCTTTTAGTATCTAGCTAAAAAGTCTTTGCCTAACCAGCATTACAAAGATTTTCTCTCATGTTTTTTTCTTTCAGAAGTATTATAGCTCTCGATGTTACATGTAGGCCTATGTTCCACTTGGATTTAATTTTTGTGTATTGCATGAAGAGTTGAAGTTCATGGTCTTATTTCATATTGATATCCAATTTCCCCAGCATTATTTATTGAAAAGACTATTCTTTCCCTGGCAATTTTAATGAAAATCAGTTGACCATATAAGGGTTTATTTAAATTCCACTCCATCGCTCTCTATGCCTACTCTTACACCAATAATGCAGTCTTGATCACTATTACTTGATAGTACATTTTGAAACTGGGTAATGTAATTCTTCCAATTTTTTCTTTTTCAAAATTGTTTTGACTATTATATTTATTCAATATTATAAAGCTCAGCTTGTCAATTTCTATGAGTATGCTAAGATTTTGAGATTATGTCAAATACATAGGTCAGTTTGAGAACTGCCATCTTAACAATTGAGCCTTCCAGTCCATGAACATGGAATGTCAATTTCACTCATTTTAAGTAGTTTACAGTGTATAAGTCTCATACTTCTTTTATTACATTTATTTCTAAGTATTTTATTCTTTGTGATGCTATTCAGAGTGAAATTGTCTTCCTAATGCTATTTTGGACTGTTTATTTGTAGCATATAAAAAAACTTTAAAAAAAAATCTTGATCTTGAATCCTGAAACTGTTAAACTCATTTATTAGTTCTAGTAGTGCTTACTTGTGTGTCTGTGGTTTTTTAAAGATTTTTACATACAGGATCAGGTCATCTGTGAATAAAGACAATTTCATTTCTTCCTATTCAATCTGATCACTTTATTTTTGTTTGTTTCCTTTACTCCAGTGGCAGAAATTTCCAGTAAAATTTTGAATATAAGCTGTGAGAACAGACATCCTTGCCTTGGTCTTGATCTTATGGGGAAAAAAGCATTAAGTATTTCACGGTTAAGTATGAAATCAGCTGTATGGTTTTTTAGATGCCCTTTATTAGATTGAGGAAGTTTCCTTCTAATCCTACTTGAGCATTACCATGGATTTATTGCATTTTGTCAACAGCTTTTCTACATCTGTTGAGATGGTATGTGGTTTTTGTCCTTTGGTCTAATAATGCAGTATTGTTTTGCAGATTATTTTATGTTAAACCAACCTTGCATTCAGGGTATATAATCCCTTTTAAGGTATTGTTGCATTTGGTGTGCTAATACTTTGTTGGGAATTTTTTGTATGTTCATGAGGAATATTGATCTGTAGCTTTCTTTTTTTGTAATGCTTTTACCTGCTTTTGGTATCGGGGCAATAAACATCTTCACAGAATGAGCTGAGAAGTGTTCTCTGTTTCAGAAAGAATATGATTGTATAATTTCTTCCTTAAATATTTATAATTCACTAGTGAATCCACATGGGCCTGAATCTTTGCGGGGATGTTTTAAAAGTATTCATTAAATTCCTTATTTGTATCGTCTGTTATGGGTGGAATTATGCCACACCAAAAGATATGCTGTAGTCCTCAGTACCTCAGAATGTGTTCATGTTTGGAAACAGGGTCATCGCACGTGTAGTCAAAAGGTCGTATTGGAGGAACCTGGGCTCTGAAATCCTCTATCACTGATGTCCTAATAAAACTATGAGAAAGACATATGAGGGGGAAACACCATGTGATGATAGAGAGAGATTGAAGTTGATGGAGCTGCAGGCCAAGGACTGTGAAGGGCTGCCCACAACTCACCAGAACCAGAAAGAGTCAGGAAGGATTCTCCCCTACAGGTTTCAGAGAGCTTGGTCTGCCAACACTTTGATCTTGGGCTCAGCCTCGAGAACTGTGAGAGGTACATTTCCATTGTTTTAAACCACCTAGTTTGTGGTACTTTGTTATAATTGTTGTATCTTCTTGATTTATCGACCGCCTTATCATTATGCAATGTCTGTCTCTAGAAATATTTCTTTTCTTAAAGTCTATTTTGTCTGGTATCAGTAAAGCCACTGAAAATCTGTTACGGTTTGTTTGCACGCTCTACCACTGTTAAGTGTTGTTAGTCTTATCATCATCATAATATGTGATACAATTTTGTATTTATAGTTCTTAAGTTGTTCTTAAGGTAAAGTTTAAGCTTTTTTACAAGAAAAGTTATAAATTCTTCAATCAGTTTACACATCTTTTGGTATAGTGTTGGGAATAACAATAAATACTCAATTCATTAAAAGCAAGTAAATACCCAAACAAGCTCCTCTTTAAAAAGCAATCCAGTTGTGTTATTTGCTAATGGTGTTGTTGCTTGATGTTTTCCCACCTTTAGGCCTGGTTTTAAAAGCTCAGAGTGATACTTATCTGCCTTCCTGCCAGTCCCAATCCTAGATTTATGAACTGTACAAATGTTGTTACCACCATTCCTCTGTTTATACACAATAACCAATTTTTAGGAATACTTATTTAAGTCAGATGGCTCTTTCCCAGGTATTGTTGATCTCCTGCAAAACTTTGATTAAAAACAGAAAATTATTCAGACATTTATTTAGGTCTCAAATATTATACACAAGTTATATAATGCTGCTTTTTCTCATGATTAAGATTCATGAATATTTTTGTACTTTCAGGAATCTAATGTTACAACTGTGTAACTTTTATGATAAAAGACTTATGGCATTGATTCTTTGATATTTTTAAGCCTTGCCTCAGTGAAAGTGTGCTGCTTAAGATATACAATTACTATCCAAGTGATTTATTTGAAAATTTAAATGGAACTTGACTATGATACAACGTGATTTCAGTAGGAACTTTAAAAAATTCCTATCTGCTCAATAAGTCATGTAGGACAAATAGGTCATTTTTTTTAAATGTAGACTTTTACTGTCCCCTCAAATGTTCGTGAACTTTTCCCAGTGATAATATTTGAAATTAAATATAATTGACTATATTCTTAATATTTATATACTTTAATAACATTTTAATGAGATTACTCCATGGAGCTTCTTGATTTGTGGCTCCTTTAAAATGACCTCTGTATTTGATGTATTAAGATAAAGACAAGAAAAATGATGCTATTATAGAAAGGTGTAAAGTGTTTTAGAGAATATAAGATAGGATTAGTATTATTGAATTGATGCATATGATCGTGGATCAGAAGGATAAATGCGGATCCCTTCTTTGTGAGAAATCACATTCATTTTTTTCCTAGGGATATACATAAAATATGTCTATAGGCAGTTCTCCTTTCCCGGCTCCTGTTCCATTCACCCTGTAGTTCTAGGAATGCAGTTTCTCATGGTCAGCCAAGCTTTCTAGCTTTCTGATTAGCACACTGTTTTTAGAAGGGACAAGTTGTAAGGCTCAAGGAACATATACTTGCAAATTGCTAAGGATCTTCTTTCCCTTGACAGTCTGTTATACACCCTGTACATGGGCCAACTTTTCACTTAAATTTCAAACTCCAAAATGAAATTCCTATAGAGTTCTTATAATAACAAAAGATAATCAAAACTCTCCGGCTTTAGGCAGTTAGGTAAACTAGCTGAATACAACTGCCACAATTTCCAGTAAATACAAATCAGCATAAAAACACCTACATTTGGAGTCTTCCTTGGAAAAGGTGTATCTAACTCCTACTTATTAAAATTCTGTACCGAATCACAAGAGTTTTCTCATATCGTATGAAATAAGTAGAGCATTAGAGCATTTAACTTTTCCTGACTCCCACAACTGAACAGAAACCTTGTTCCAGAGTAGAATCAGAACCCATAATTAAAATGGCATCAAAGGACAAGTTAACATAAACACTTAACACCTAAAGCCCTCACGAGGGCCAACAGACAGAAATGCAGTCTCAGACTTAAGCTTTGGGGAGTAAAAAGCACACCCACGACCTTGTTTTGCTGGCGTGCTTGGTAACAGTGGGTTCCACCCTGAGATAGGCAGCGCTCATGCTGTCTGCTGATAACTCATGAAAGTGGAAGTTTCTGTCTCTCACAACCACCCACTTCTCAGGGTCTGACCACTCCTCGTAGCAGGTCAGGACCTTGCAGCAGGGCTGGGCCCTGGAAGGACAGTTTCACAGCCGCCCGCCACGCGGCCCACCTGCTGATTTCCCCCGTGTCTGGTCCCTCCAACACAGGCCACGTGTTTGCTTTTGCATTACGCATGGTAGAGGACGCTAGTGATTTATGGCAGGGAGGGCAATGTTATCCACTTTTCCCTCGGAGTTGCAGGATGAATAGAAGGTACTCTACTACGTGCCCTCGGAGCCAACTCCCTGCCAGCGCTGCGACGAACGGCCTGGAGGCTCACCTGGCGCGCAAAAGAGCAAGCGCAGCACCCGGCAGGCGGGGCGGCGCGGGGCGCGGCGGGGCGGGGCAGGCCGGGCCGGGCCGGGCCGGGCCGGGCCGACTTCGGGGACGAGAAGCTACAGGGATCGACGCCCGTGCGTGATGACGCGCGCGCGCGCGCGAAGGCGTGAGGACGCGGGCGGGCCGTAGAGAGCGTGAGTTTCCGCGCCTGTTCCGCTTTATTTGAGTGGTCGGTTCTGCGCGGCTTCTTTAGACTTTAGCTGGGGCTGCGGGGCGGCTGTCGGCCCCCTGTGAGGGGCGGTGCAGGGTTGGGGATGGGAGCAGGGATGATGGGTCCGGGCTGGAGGCGTAGCCTCGGCATGCGGCATCCTAGGCACCTTCGGGGTACGCGATCGGGGGTGGGTTGTGGTGGTGGGGGGGGGGATTCCCTAGAGCAGCCCAGCCGGGGTCTTCACCCTGCCCCTGAGGCTGACGGCGGCGGGAATTACCTGTCCAAGGCTCTCAGAGAATGAGGTTAGCTCCGTGGGAGGATTAAAAGCAGTAAGTTTACAGCGACGTTGCATCAGCAACAGCTTTCAGTTTCGCGTACTGACGGAACAGTAACTTTCCGTACTCTTTAATACAGGAAATCCGCTTCCGGGAATTTAACCCTTTTCTGCTCAGACCGTAAAAACCTCTCCAAAAACGAATCACAGTCACTTTCGAAGACTCAGGGTGCTATCAAAATGAATTATTGCTTAATCATGATTGAGCCACCTATGTGTGTAGGTAGTACATTCAATGACAGTTAAATTTTCCTTTTTTTTTAAGTTCTTTGGAATGGCTTGAAAGTCTGTCTAATGTCTTACATTTATGACTCTTTTTTTTTTGGCTTGTTCTAATAAACTTTTAAAGACTTAATTTGCTGCTGGCATAGCAGAGCTTGGGAAAGAGGTAGTCTTAACAAAGAATAGCACTACATTGAATTGCCCCAGGACTACAAGTATCGGTGTCACCTCGGAACTTGTTGAAAATGAAAATTTTGGGGTCTTACTGGTTGATCCCAGTGCACCTGGGTGCTAAATTGGGGGAATTACTGGCATAGTGATAACTACCATTTGAGCATCCCAGTGGAATTTTACAGAATGGAATGGATCCAGGTGAAGCCTTTCTAAGGTGTAGGATCTTGGACAAGTTACTTAAAGATTACTTCATAGGGCTCTAAGTATTCAGGGTGAACATGCAAGGAAAGTGTTTAATACCAGCATACATAGGAAACACTCAAAGATGAGATGTTCTTTAATAACCCTTATGACAATATAAAATACATACATAGATTGTGTTGGAAGGATTCTTCGTTGGGTTAGGTATTAGTTGTCATGCAAGGATACTGTGACCACTGCTTAAAAAGCATTTTATTTATTTATTTCTGGATTCTCAGTTATATTCTGTATAATTAAGGTGGTTTATTGGAGACAGGATATTCAGTTAAAAGTTAACGCATACCAACGAAGTTATGGCAACACCTACTGACACATGACTGTAGCATTTTAAAGAATCGCATTACTAATTGTGCTTTAAAAATTTTTGGCTTTCTGTTCTCTTCAGCTTAATTCTACCTTCTTTTGACCCAGAATTTGGTAAGGAACGTAGGGTGGGTAACTGACCAGAGATTACCTTAGAGCTGAGAAGTATTACGGAGCAGTGACTTGCAAGCAAAAGACATGGCTGAAGATGTTTCCATCCTTATCTTTCTTTCCCACCTGTCATAAGGCTCCACGAGAGCTGAGAAGGCCTCATCACACCCTTCTCCAGAGCTCCGTTTTCTGGGAGCATCACAGGAGTTGAGTTAGGTGTGACCGCCACCTGTTGTTTTTTCAGATCATCCGTGGCAGGGTTTACTCACAACATTTCCCTTCCCTTTCCGGGGGCCACAGGGAGAGGGGAGAGAAATATTCAGGATTTGAAACTGCTGCCCAAAAGCCTAGACTCATTCCGATGCTGAGAAGGGTCAGTGCCACACTGGCCTAACCAACAGGCTTGGATTAGAGTGTGCTGCTCCAAGGCCATGGCACGGTTGCAGGGTATTGTGGGTGAGAGTTTTCACTTTGGATATAAGCTTCTATTATAAATAACTTTGGTAATGCTATCACATCATGAAGCATTCAGTTTCCAAAGGCCCCAAACGTTTTTCTTGTTCTAGGTCTCAGGCAGGGATATTGCAGTGATTTTGGGTCACGAAGACCCTGCTTTGAACCCTGCCTCTGCCACTGCTAGTTGTGTCCATCAGACAAGTCAACATCCTCCAAGCGTTAATTTCCTCTTCTATAAAATCGAAGTCATGGCGCGAGATTGCCTCAGGACACTGAATCAAACAAAAGAAAACATAAAGCGTCCACCAGGTGTTAGGTGTAGAGGCTCTGTAACTGCTGCGTGGTGGACAGTGGAAAAAGGTAGTTACCACCTCAAACCTAACTATCTCATTCATTTCCTCCTTATGAATGAGGTAGTTTTGTTATTACCCAACTGCACTGCTTTTCTTTTTAAACAGTCGAGGGTGCTGAAGTGCAAAGTTTTCCCATTATTGAGAATGCAAACACTTGGAGAAAGTTAAAATTCTAAATCTGATGGAAAGACACTATCTTCAGTTTTAGCACCACACAGAGCAACTTCCATATTTTTGTGGGTGCTAACTGGACGGGGAAGGTCAGGGGATGATTAAAATTTAAGTACCTTCAATTAGTTAATGGGGACAGTCAGTTATAGAAGGGGACACTATGTTAGAGGAGAAGAGACCTCACTGAAAACATGCACCAACTGCACCAAAGTATAAGAAAATACTGTTAGCCCTGAAATAGTTATTTTTCAATATGGATGTTTAATAATAAAGAGGATTTTTGTCCCATTTTTTAAAAGCAAAATTCTTACGCATTTTTAAATTTTTTTTAAGAGAGAGAGGGAGGTAAGGAGAAGGGGAGAGAAACATTGATGTGAGAGAGAAATATCGATTAGTTGCCCCTTGTACATGCCCTGACCAGGACCGAACCGGCAATCCCCGCATGTGCCCTGACAAGGAATCGAACTGGTGACCTTTCGCTTTGCGAGATGATGCTCACCAACTGAGCCACACTGGTCAGGGCATTATGTATTTTTGTGTACATATATATAAATATATGAGCATGGAAAATGCTTGAAAGGGGTCATACCAGGTCATAATTTTTAATTTTTTGTAATCCTCACCTGAGGATGTGTTTATTGATTGTTTTAGAGAGAGAGGAAGGGAGGAGGAGAGAGAGAAACATTGATGTGTGAGAGAAATATCTATTGGTTGCAACCCACATGCGCTCTAACCAGGGATTGAACTCACAACGTATGTACATGCCCTGACTGGGAATCAAACCCGCAGCCTTTTAGTGTACAGGATGACCCTCCAACCAACTGAGCAGCCTAGCTAGGGCCATAATTTTGTTTTGTAATTTGTGGATAGGGATAAGTGTATACATTTATGTAAAGCTGTATATGCATGTATACATAAATGTTCTATAGTAAAAAAACACCATTAAAAAGATAGAAATGATGCTTTAAAAAGATAGATTTCCTTTTATGCTGCAGTTGTAGTCATCTAAGCACAGGCCTCAGATTTCTCAGCAGGGAACACTATTTAGCAGAATCTTGGGTGTAGCGCCCAGGAGCCGAGTGGCTTTAGTGAAGGGCACAGGCCCTCTGCAGGGACTCACTGAGGCATCCCTGGGACCTAGGCATGGAACCAATGTCCATGGAACCTGGTCCAGGACATTGCTTGTAAAACTTCATCTATGGGATAGAAATCCTCAGGAGATGAGCTGTACCTTTAAAAGCCATGGCAGGGAGAATTCTTGTGAGCGGGAGTCACAAATGCGTTCTGAAGACAATGCAAAAGGCTTTCAGCGGTGTTAAACATACTAGGATAGCTTCTCATGCAGAGGAGTGATTATTTTACAAAAATAGAGAGGCATCTATGCACTTTTTTTTTTTTTGAGAAATCATCTAAGCTTTTTTTTAATCCCTCCAAGGATGACAGCTGTATCACTGTTAAAACTATTTAATATTTTAACTGGCTGTTGTTTAGCATTACAAATGATTCAAGGAAAAAGATTTAAGGAGTCAATGGAAATACATTACTTGTTTTTATTGCCCGTTGATTTTTTGTTGTATGAAAGCAGCTGGTTTGAATTTTTATGTTAAAGGGTTGTTCTTAGAGCTAATTTTTAGTTAATAATGAACCCTCATAAGAAAAATAATTTCAACTGCGAAGTATGTTAGATTGTTATTAATAGGGGTAGCAGTAGTAATGCATTGTCTTTTTTCACACATTGAAGAGGGTTCCCTGGTGACAGCTGCAGTGTGGGGGAGGGGAGTCACTTTCAGTCAACCAGCTGCTCTGTGCCACATCATGACGGTGATATTTCAAAGCCTGTGGATAATTTTGTCTGTACTCAGACAAGAAAATGTATGAAATTTCTGGGAAGCAATAGATAACGTGCAAGAGCCCTTTGTGACCTAGATGATAGCCAACCAACCAGGCGTGCGTTCAGGTTCCCATGTTGGTGTTGCGTACCACCTACTTCCATGGACATCGTCACACGCGCATCCTAGTTTTAAAGCAGTGACGCTTAGTCCCACGGGGGAAAGGCTCATTGCTTTATGGAGAGGAAGGGGCAGTGGAAAACAAACTTTGGGAGTGTGCTACGTGCATTCCCACAAGATGCTATTTCATTGATTCTTCGCAGTGACTCCAAGAAGTAAGTGAAGTTTTCCTCAGCTGTGGATAGAGAAGCTCAGCAGGATTGATGATGTGATTTTCCCAAGGTCACATACCAGTAAGCGACGGCCTCCGGGTTTGACTGCAGATCTGGCGTCCGCACCACGAGTGTTGTCATTGAAACAACAGCTGTTTCTCCATGGTGTTAACTTGCTTATGCACTTTAAATTCAAAGTCACAAAACAGGATAGTTATGAATGAAATGAGTATACATATTACAATGACTTCAATTCTATAAATAATATATAGGGGAGTGTGTGTGTGTATGGACAGCTACTCCTAATTTTGGATTTTTTTCCCTTGAGGAAAATGCCTTGGGCAACACTGTGAAAGAAATGCTACATTTTTTTTTTTTATGTTACAAATACCAGCAATTTGCAGTTATGTGTGTTCTAATGAATCAGTTGTGATTCT